TAAGATCAGTAATATTTTATTTTTATTCGTAACATGACAACATTAATTTTTGACGATGGGATATGAGCTACTTATATGTGTTTGAGCGTCGCAACGCACTTTTAACTATTTCTAGAAGAACAATTAAATATAGATTAATTATAGCGTTTTGTGCTGTCGCGGAAAAAACGCAACTATTTTGTTTCCTAATGCAGTGTAGCACCGTTGCGGATTTTCAAAACGCTGTTATTACTAAATCAATGCTTTTGTGAAACTGAACTAAAATTAGTGTCGATCATGGGGTTGTTTGACTGCGGAGGAATGTTTGCATCACTAAAACAGCTAGCATCAAGGCGGACAATGCTCTTGGTGGACTGTGGCTTGGGATAGAACTTAAGAAGAAGATCATAATCACTGAATCTCATATCCCACAAGTAACTGCACAGCTTCTTGTTGCAAACTGTCATGCAAATCAACCAATCATAATAATATAATAATGGTTCTCACTGATTTGAAGTCAGACTGGAGGTTTACTGGATGGAACCTGGAATGAGGATTTTCAACTGCATACTCAATCTATTAATGCCATCAAGTCCTATCCAACATATTTGTCACCACTACTCTTACATCCTCCACTGCTACTACATCCTCCACTGCTACTACATCCGCTGTTTGCTAATAGGTGCTGTTTGGTGAGACTTTTACAACAGGACACAGGTTGATCAGAGAAAATGAAGCCTTCAGGACTAGAGCAAATGTTAAAGAGGCAAAAGGTTGATATTATGGATCTGATCCAGAGAGTGATGTTGCAAACATGCATGATGTATTCAGGAGATATGTGACTGGGAGGCACCACAGATCTTAGAAGTGATCAAGGAAAGCTCTATCATGCAACCATTGCTACAAGCTGAGAATTACAGGCATATGTATGCATAAGATAGCAGTGGTTTGTATTTAGACACAAGCACATTGAACTTCTTTGTCACTCATATTCATATCTCTTGAATCATTCTGTTGCTATGCAATTGAATTATAATGCATGCTTAGAGCAGTATCTGTAGCTTTTCTGTCATTTCATCTGTTTGTGTTTGCAAAGGTGTCAAGCCTAGGTCTAAAAGACAACATATTTCCACTCAATGGTTCCGATCTGTGGCACAGTGAATATTTGGCACACAAGCAATTGGATATATTCTATTTTGCATTTTCACATCAAGGTGCACCAAGAAACCAGAGGATGTAAGACTTTACTTCAAGGCACAAAACATATGCATACAATTATGGAGGATATGGAGAGAGAGTGCAGAAAACAAAGAGACAGCTTATTACTATGTGGAAAAGAATGTCCCTACATTGTCATTGTATCTGTTGGCGAACATACTCAATTACCACCCCCACCCAGCAAGCCTCTGATAACTGTTGTGGAAAACTTGAATAAAATAATTAATAGTGAAGATTTGCTAGACCTTACTGCATGCAAGCTGATAGCGAGTATGTTTGTTTCCTTTATGGCACTTTTAATTATGCATTACCAACTGATTATGTGCAAATTACGATAATTAATTGTTATGTAGATGCGCATTATTATGATTTATACTCATTGTACCCCAGACGGGAGATAACTGATGATACACTCGAGAGCGATTACTTATCTAGGATTAACATCATTATACGGTGAAATAGTCCGTAAGTGAAAAGCCTTGAGATTACAAGGTCACTAACTGAACCATTAGATATTTAACTTGAATAGGAGG